GTAATCACGCTTTAGTACAAGCTCCTTCACAATTGAAAGATTTAAGTTGCCCCCATGCCTATATTTATCATTATATATGTACCCTGTCAAGTCCTTATTCAGCTATTGAAGTGTTTCTAGATAATTCATAAACATGTACTTCTTTGTAGGCCACACATCAGTGAAGATGTGTGAAAGATTGATGGGATCGATTGATCTTCTCAAAGCCAGCAGAGGAGCATATACCTCCAAAGCTGGATTTGATGTGCATTCAACCACCCGGCATTCGGTTGAAGCTCCTTTTCATGACCAATTGAAGGGTGCCTGGTTCTGCTTGAAAAATGGCCTGTTGGATCCCAGTAAATCTTCTGAGTCTCCCTGTTGTTATCCACTAGATGAGGGAGGAAAGCCCAGTGGTAAAGTTTCAAAATCCATGCTTGATGTTGTAGATAAGGGAGTTGCAAAAATATCCCAGAATTTTAAATACAAACTATACGAATAATTTCCAGATTTATGATATGAATTGTTACATCAATCAGAATATGTGAAGATTGAATATTTAAACCAAGGATTGCATGCAACAAAGTGAGAAATTAATAATTTTTTACATTATACATAGCAGTTTTCTATTCAAAGGCAAGGCAAATATGTATATGTACAGTAGCCAGGTCTAATCTGTAAGTATTTCTTAAAGTCAAGCAACATTTGCCTAATATGAAATGCAAAACCTGCAATTGTTAACTGTTATAAGTTATAACTAAGTATTAAGCAAGGTTATGATCTGGGATCGGAGCAAATCACTATTTTTAGTAATTATTTGAATTTACCAATTTGCTGACAAAGGCATCAATTACTATTTTGCTTGTCAAATGTACTTTACTATTAATTAACCCATTGAGTGGCAGCACTCTCCACTTGATGTTGAGAAAAATAGTCTGGAATTAGACAGAGTGAAATACTCTGGCATTAAACAGAGTAAAATTATAAAGTAGGACGCAACAAGGTGCATTGCCACTTAAAGGGTTAATCAGTTACTGAAAATCAACCAATACAATAAATATATTTTATGAACCATATGTACAGTAGGATAAATTAATTTTATACACCATATAATATATGAGTTAAACATTTTAGCAATTTTTTCTATTTTTAGACTCAGAGTTAGTCTGTTAGGATTAAAGTTAGGAAAAGGGTTCAGGTCTGGTTTAGGATTTGGGTTAGGGCAAGGTTAGGGTTAGCATTAGGGGAAGGGTTACATTTTGGGTGAGGCTTTACAATATAATGTAGTATAATAAATGTCTAAAAATAGAAACTCTTCCTAAAACATGATATGTTTTACTAGAAACTTGATCAGAATTGTTGATGATTTTGTAACAATCTTAATATGACATAATTGCATGTCAATATAGAATTGTCTCCTAACCATCCATTAGTTTCTTTGTGTTACCTGTTGCCAAAACAACAGAAGGCCTGTCTGCAGTACCAGCTGGTTCTTCTTTAATGATCCCAATAACAATGAGATGGAAGATCAATCTCTGTAGTTGCTTCCTTCCATTTCTCTGCCTGTAATGAGGTTTTGCAGAACCAAATTCTTTAACCATATTTAATGATAAAACTTGTAGTTCAGTGGCACAAGACCCAAGCAAGAACTGTGTTAATAGCAAAACTGTTATCTTTTTTTTTCCTTTCTTCCATTGCCAACAGACCTTGCACAATTATTTTTGACACTGAAGTGCGATCTTTCAATTCGACTGTTTTGTTGCTAGTACAAAAGTCGCATTTGTCTTCACATTCTGCAACATTCTCCTCAAAATACAACAAGATTTGCTTGTGCCGACACATGTTATTGTCACAATAGTTAACAATTTGGTTAAGCAAATTGTAGTTATGTTTTTGATACTCTTTGTCCTCAATTTTAACAATATTGTGAAGATGGAAAGACCTATCCTCATGCTTAAAAAACAATGTACAAGCAGCAGGCTCTCCATCCTTTCCAGCACGGCCAATTTCTTGATAATAGTCTTCAAGACTCTCTGGAAATGACATGTACAAAACAAAACCGCACATCTTTTTTATCAATACCCATGCCAAATGACTTAGTAGCACAAATGACATGGGCATGACCATCAGTCCAAGCTCGCTCATGCTTTTTCCTTTCGGCATCGTACTGGGCACCATGGACAAAAACCGCATTGATGTTGGCTGTTTTAAGTTCATGTGCAAGATCAACAGTATCTTTCCGGCGTGCACAATAAACAATACCACGCTGTTACTTATAATTTTCATTGATGTAGTTGGCAATTTGTCTTTTGGGTTTATCAAGCTTTGGTACAATGTTTAATAACAAATTATTTTGTGAACTTGTCACTTTTACTATTTCAGGGGATTCCATTCTCAATGTTTCCACTATTTTACTCTGGACTGTACTCGTAGCTGTACCAGTAATGCGGTAGTCATTTGAAATCACGGCCGCCCCCCACCCCCGGGAAATAGCGGGGAATTTAACACAACCAAGTGTTAAAAAACATTAAATCCCCCGCCCCTGGGGCAAACTGGTCTGTTAAATCCCCCGTACGGCTGGGCTTTAGAATACCTAAACAAGACAAGTTCCGCATCGTGCATGCATTTGAATTACTTGTCTTCCGCAACTTCTAGATTGAATTTCCGTCAAGTATTGTATTGACAATGTCTGGTCATGCATATCAAAATATCGATATGAAAATGTAAATAAATATGCAAATATAAAATGTAAACAATGCCAATTATATCCAAACAATGGAAAAGGCGATGCCTGACACTTATTGAATATTAACAGCAGCGGATGGCTGAGGATTAAGTATAAAATCACAGAATAGATACAGGACCAGAAGTGTCACTCAGACGATATTTTGTCCGAAATTTTACGAGTGCTGACGTGAAAATACGCCATCATATGACACCATCCTGGAGTGCACACGGAAGTTTTTCATAGGAAAACATAGGTACAAAGTGCCGGGTGCACTCCAGGATGGCGTCATAGCACGCAAAAAAAACGTACATTTTCCTTCAGCCAAAACAAATAGGAGTGACACTTCTGGTCCGGTATCTATTCTGTGATAAAATATAAAGTTTCAAACGCACGTACCTGTCGAGGAAGTTTTTCGCCAGTCGCCATTTTCGTTTTTACGACCCTATGCGTCATTTTAAGTCCCCAGTTATCCCCGGTGTATTTATATATAGCGGCTGTTAAATCCCGGGTGAATTCCCCGGTTATAAAAAAGTTGTTAATTCCACCGCCCTCCGGGGCATAGCACGTTGTTAAATAGCGTTAAATCCCCGCTAAATTTTGTTAATTCCCCGCTATGTCCCGGAGGTGGGGGGGGGGGCCGTGATTTCAAATGACTGAAGCATAAGAGCAACAATAGGTACTCTGAAATCTTTAAGCAGTCCAAGTTTAAGGTAATCTTCGCAGAATCCTTGTCCCCAAACATCTATGCAATGAGCTTCATCAATTGCAATAAAGTTCAATTTTGCACTATCACTCCATTTTTTCAAAACATTCAACAGTTTTTCAGACATGATACATTCTGGACTGGTAAAGAGTATTGCTTGAGACAAGTCTTGATGACATAGGGAATTTATTACAAACTGCATCTCTTTGTCGGTTAATTATGAATTATAGAAAAATGCTGGTATTTGCTTTTGTCTTAGTTTCTCACACTGTTCTTCCATGATCAATTTCAAAGGCTCAATGACAATTGAAAGTCCTTGATTCAGAATCGCAGGCAAAGTGTATACTACACTTTTCCCACCTCCAGTTGGGATAAGTGTAAGAGTATCCTTCCCTTGCAATATGAACTGAATTGCTTCTAGCTGACCAGAGCAAAATGAGTCATATCGATACAAATATTTCAGTAATGATAATTCCCTATTTTCCTGGACAAGAATGGCACTTATTTCTGGTTGGGATGTTTGGCAACTTGACAGATTTGGTGCTGGCAAAATGGTGGTAGGTGTTTTCTAAAAAAAAATACAACAAGTTTGGCAAAAATATTTACATACAATGGACATTGATGACATGAACATCTAGTATGAAGACAATTGAGGAAAATATACTATAAAACATTTGAAATTGGCAAAGCTGACCCCGGAACATTTATCCAGTACTTTACATATTTAAACACCTATTTTTATATTTCAAATATGCAAAGCATGCATTCAAATATATCTAGCATACCCTGTAATCATGTCATTATGGCCAGACCTTGTGGTCGCAGCAAGTTTTAATAGGAGAGCCAGGATACTGGCTGAGGTTGCAGCAAGTTTTAATAGGAGAGCCAGGGTACTGGCTGAAAAATTTAATATTTTGGTATGCAGGGGCATTTTGCCTTACCAATTTGTAGTAGATTGCTTCTGCATGCACTTTGTCTTGAGCTTTCCACAATTGGAACGTGCAGTTCATTGAGTTATTATTAACATTCATTTTCATGCCTTCACCACTATTTTCCAGTTTTGGCAAGGAGACTTTATGGTCTAAATATATCCCAAACAACTTTGCTGCCTCTTTCTCGTTTGAACAACACAACACCATGCTCTCACCATCGCCTTCAACATCAAAAATCTTGTAATTATCAAAATCCTATATTAAAACACACATTCATTGTAAAATACATCAGCAATTCAAAGTATAAAGCCAAAAAAAATTGTACCTACCAAATTTTTTCTCTGTTCTGAAAGGGCTATCAAGTTTTCCTTGGTTTCATTTGCAGCAAATTTTCTCAAACATTTCACTCCGTCTTTCAGCGCATTATCATCGAATTCTGTGTCTAATTCGGTAATGCTGTTGAAGGCCTACTTGACTAAATATGTCTGTTGTTTGTGAACCACAGACAGCACAACACGTTTTCCCACTCCGCAAAGCCAAAATAAATTGCCTTTGTGGAAATGAATAATTCATACCCAACTGAGCCATTTTGCCAAACTGCTCGAGAATCTGCACTCCCCCCAGTTTAACACCATATTGGGACAGAAATCGGGCAGAGGCTTCCGCTATTTTTTCCCTTCCCTTCCCCTCGCGCCGATTCTCAGCGGTTGTCTTCATACCAGATACCTTCTAGCGCAATTTCAATTCCTTCGAATTTCATATTCTTTAAAACTATAAAAGCCTCTGCGGAGGAGAGGAAAATTGATCACTTTGGCCAATCGTTTAGTAATAGTACGGCACACGACTCTCACACACAGGCAAACAAATGATACAGAGACTCCAAAAAGATTGCCGATTGTTCTGTACTCTATACAAGGTAAGGGCTAATTGTTGTTTTGGCGGAATTACCAAACGCATAGTGGTATCAGTATTTTATCAGTATTTTATCCCTTTGGTTACTCTTAAAGTTGGTGTACCATAATTCATCATTCTATGTTTGCTTGACCATTTTGATCCATACTGACGATCTCGGATGCTTCCACAACAACCGGTTTCGTGGGCGACACAAGACAGCTAAAACAGCTTCAACAAAACATTTCCTTTGCCTTTCTTTAATCCAAATTTAGGAGTTTAACAGTGGTCTTATGACTTAATAATGAAACATTTCTCTTTCTTTTACTCCTTTGGAGATACCATCTAATAATCATTCGCTTTAGGAGTTTAAGCTTTCGCTGTTTACCTCCATATTTGAAATATCCCATGCAAATTAATTAACATTCAGTTTAGCGAGCTACCACTTACATTTGTACTGAGGGCGCTAGGGTGCCAGAAAAAGTTCAGGGGTACTCGTTATAAATTTATGGCCCGGCATCCAAGCAAAATAATTGTCATGTAAACGCAAATTGGCAGGCCAGAAATACAGGTCCATGGGCCAAAAAATCATGTTGTGTAAATGCAGCTTATATCTCATGCAGTAAACAATGGTAGCTGACAAATAGTTTCTTGAGAACATTGAATTCAGCATAAGTGCTCTGTCTCTCAGTTGTGAAATAGTACTTCTAGTGCTCCAAATATGTTCTCATTATATATACAAGACATTTCCTGGGAGTACACAACTGTATGCAAAGCGTTCAATCGGGGTATTTAAATTTTGTCACTGACAATAGGCCATGTGTCACATAATTAGGCACTCTGTACTCTGAGAGCTCTGCAGCACTTGCAAGATTTTGCATTTCTTGCTCATAACACAATACGTCTCTGAACAATTTCCTGATATGATAAGCAATGTTTCAAAAGACAACATATGAAGATATCGACTAAAATTACATCACTTCCCAAACACGAAAAAATATTTCCGACATGGCCGCGTAACATATTTTAGACTCACCTCATCGATTTGTCCAGATCCATTAGTTGGCGGTCAATGTCCGATTCCTCTCCACTTGACATTCCTCCACAATCACTGTTGGACACATTTCTATCTTCTAAAGCTCCTACAACAACTTCAGTACTGAAGCGACTCCTCTTAGAGCAGGTCGCCATTGTGTGAACTGAAGGTCAAGTTTGCATGACATGCTACTTTTAGGCAAAATAACAAAAAGACAGTCAATCACTGCATTTGTTATTTCCAAGTGACCACTCACAGTGCTTTATATACCACAGACTCTCAGATTCAAGACAAGCTGTTTTTATATATTTTCCAATGTATTCCATCGGCAAAACGAGAGATTTAATTAATAATGGGTCGAGGTGGCCCCATAATCATTAAGAAAAGATAGAAATTGAAATGGGGGCGGGTGTTGCAATTCACTTACAAAGTACAATTCCTCACACTGTGCGAGACAATTTAATACCAACTGACACAGACATAGAAGCGATTTGGCTTGAAATCGATAAACCAAAAAATAAACCCATGCTAGTGTCAACTTGGTATACCCTGCCAGACTAACGGGCTTTTTGACAAATTTGAAAACTTACAAAAAGTATATTATGAAAACAAGGAACTTATTATAACCGGCAACCTAAACTGCAACCTGTTATCCACTGAGGAAAATACTCACATTAAGAAATTTAATGAACTAATGGATGTTTATCAGTTACAACATCATATACAGTGTCTAACAAGGGTTACCATTACCACCAAAACTTTGTTGGACTTAATTATAACAAAAATAGACGATACCAAGACTGTAAACTACTGGGTAATACACTTGGGAATAAGTAATCATAGGTTAGTTTTTATATACAGAAAAATTAACATCTCAGAAGCGAAGCCAAAAATTATCAAAACAAGACAATTTAAACATTTTAATGTGGCACAATTTCAGCATGAATTAAGTAATGTGTTTAGTTCATTTCCAAGCTATACAGGCCCGAACATAGCATGGCATATAATATATATATATATATAATATATATATATATAATATATATATATA